TGCCACCTCCCAACTCCGGTGATCTTGACTTTTTCATCGTCTCGGGCCCAAGTAAGAGGATTTAGGAATTGCACGGTGGATTCAACGCATGTCTACGCTCACGAAAATCTAATTTACACCCTATTCCCGGCCCTTGCACCTGCTATGAAGTACGTGGTGGACATCCTTGGAATCAACGGTCCAACTGTAATTTGCAATCAATGACCAGTCGCATGTAATTTTAACTAAATTGCTGAAGTGCATAGATGATTAGGAAGAATCACTCAATTAGGGTTGTAATAGCGAGTATCGTGCATACGAACCCAAAAATATTTGAGGCACGACAGGATGCTGGTAATTGAGTAGACTTCTTTTTGGCTGCCTGCAAAGCCAAGTCCAGATTTTCCACGCAAGGAAAATCATGCATTCAACTAGACTATTGGGAGGTTTCCATATAAACTGTCAGTAGACTTTTCAATGAATGTGCACCCTATTGTATAAACTACTAGGAGTATTTAAAAAATGACCAGATAATATGCCATTGCATGGTATTCACAAATCTAATGTTCACACACCTTGCGAAAACCGATAGCTGTTCTTCTATCAAGAAGGCAAATTTAAAGAATTTCGAATTAGCTAATAAATGGGTCAGACAAATATTATTATTTGCATAAGTTAATTCAAATATAATTTAAATTGTAAGAGCATCAGAAAGCAATAGAAAAAGCATGATGATTTAAGCATACACTTCCACCGATGGCTGTATTTTTGGGCAACTGAAAACATGTGAACTCAAAAACAGCACCCTAGCATATCCGTAATATCAGAGAATGATCGATATAACAACCAAACTTAAGTAATTTTAGCTAGTCAAAGACCTATTTAAGTATTTCTGCTAATGTTTCAAAAGTTCCATCAGTGACTGTACCTATGACAGTGATTAATACTGCACTAGCCAGAAAACCAGGAATGTCTTTCACAGGTGTTTTCGTTGTTGTATCAGAAAACGGGCCCTCGGTCAGTAGAATAGCGTTCTCCAGATAAACCTAAAGCTAATACTTTCGGAAAATATCAAAGGAAGAACTTGGAGTTAACTGCCGGAGACGGGGCATTTTAGGGTCGATCCCGAAAGTTTAATTAACATTTGTGTCTGAAGCAAAGCTTTTTTGTGGAATAAGCGCTTACTGTGTATCACATAAAATACCATCACAGGGAAATAATGATGTTTCCACCATAGACTTTGATGAGGTCAACCGTGTGCACCAGATCAAGTCAGGCGCAGAAACGATGATTTGCGCCTGAAGTAGATTGTAGTAGTATTCTTAGTATTAGTAGCAGTAGACTTCTTCTGCATATGCACGATCCTTTCTCCTCTTTCGCCAATGCAAAAAGTCCAAAGGTGGAAGAGGGCGCAGGCCTCGGGTGCGAGTGGAGACGTCCCTAAGCCTGCCTTTACACTTAGATCGGATCCCAAAGAGTGGGCGTGACAAGGAGGCCGCAGTAAGAAGGAGCCATTAAAGCCTCACGCTCAGTCCGCCAGTCCGCCACTCCACAGAAATAAAAAGCAGGACTGACCTCGTGGCCTTAGTTATTTCATCAGTCGGCAAATTTTCAAGCCACGGCTTTTAGTGCACCGTGCTTTTCTCAGGCTCCGATCACACATGCAACAGAGCAGCCGAAGATTGAAGGAACCCAGGAACACATTACTAATTGGCGGGTGAGCGATCATCTGCCAACGTCAATATTTCCGGCTTAAACGGGCAAGAAAACGGGCTTATGGCTGAATGGTTAGGGCGTTGGACTTCTAACCAACAGATTGCGGGTTCGAGCCTCGAGTGGTTCATCACCTGGGGCTGGGTAATGCTGACTGAGGACGGATAATCAGTCAGACATGGCTATTCATTGTATTCCCCGTCTTTATCAGTAATACTCATCTACAGTACTACTTCCTTGTAGAATGGACATTGCAGGTTTATTTCACGGAAGTTAATTGTTTTCAAATCTAATGTCAGTGACCTAGAAGTAAACGTGCCCGACACTTGCTTCCAATGCTCTCGCTACTTACTTCCGACATTATGAATATGATATGTATCCAAATGAGAGGTACCGTCAGATAGAGTAGAGCTGGAATATTCATTTCTGAATTACTGGATGTCTTCAGACAGCCCGCTTGGTCTCCAGGTGCACACGTTCCGTTGAGAGACATTAGCGGCCGTAATTTCCAGATAACAGTTCATTTTATCGATTGAAGCAGTCTGAGGGTGGGCACCTGGGTAGGGCTAAGTGAACTCTATTTAAAATCTCCCCTCTTTCATATCAGATGTTTTTTACTCTGTCTTGACACTGAGCCCAGATGAGGGACTAAGACAGAGGGTGAGGCGAATGCAATGAAAGTCAATTCTGGCTATAATGTAGCGCAAGTTATCGTCC